TAGTGATAAGTGTTCCTGCCTGCAAAACCACGCACCAAGCAACTACAGCTGATGATACTTTCTTATTATTTAAAGTTAAAAGGCACCAATGTTCCTACGACGATGTGTGTGATCTAAAGTAGTTGATTGGTTTGCTGTCAATAACCTATTCCTTAATGAGAAAAAAACAAATTGTGTGAATTTTACATTACCCAATGTTAGAGAGACGGTTACAAACATTGTAGTTAGAAACGAAAAATTGAATCTTGTGGATACAATTAAAAAATGTGAAAAAAAAAGTGGAAAGTCTTTCTAGATATAACGTTAGATGCTAAATTGCAATGGGGTCCCCATATAAGTAAGTTATCAAAACGGCTCGGCTCTGCAGTGTACGCGATTAAAAAAATACGGAAACTTTCAGACGTGAAAACCGCTAGATTGGTTTACTTCAGCTACTTTCACAGTTTAATGATATACGACATTTTGCTTTTGGATAATGTCGCCGCCGATATCAATAGAATCTTTATCCTGCAGAAACGTGCGGTTAGGACAACTTACAATCTGGGCCCCAGAGTATCTTTGAGAGATAAGTTTAAGGAAATTAACATTCTTACATTAGCCTCACAGTACATTTATGGAAATGTAATTTATGTTAAGAGGAATAGTAATTTCTTTATGAAAAATAGTGACAGACATAACATTAATACGAGGAATAAAAATAAACTAGCTGTTCTTGATAGTCGTCTTCACAAAGTAAAAAATTCATTTAAGGTGCAATGTATACGCTTCTGTAACAAGATTCCGGTTGTTATACAAAATTTGCTTTTCACGAGGTTTAAAACTATAGTGAAACAAAAATTGTATACTAAAGGTTATTTATTATACAACTTCTGCGTACTTGAATGACAAAAATCCGTGGTAGTAACCCATTTAGCTCATGGAGGTCGTCTCGATCTCTGATGTTTCAAAACAAAAAAAATATATATTGTAAATGTTGCATGTGTACAAAAGTTATTTACAAAGAGCAACTCCTAAAGTTTCTTGCTCATTCTTCTCAGGGAAATCTGCCTTAGGAGTGAGCGGTAGAGTTTAACCATTGTGACCATTTCAAGTGTAATAATGCTTAATTATGAAAAAAAAGATTATTTTGAATTTGAATTTGACTGTAGCGTCCTAGAGCCACATGGTGTCTCTATCGCGCAGTTGTGTTTTGATCTTTAATAGACCATTAAAAAATAATAATTTTTATTTAAAAAAAAACTGAAATCGTTAGGGACATCGTGTGTCTCTAGGATGCGTGACGCGATTAAGCAGGAATTTTTTAACTACTATATAAATTTTTGTGTCGTTCAGTAGGTTTCTCATATAAACGCTCTGTATCATTAATAAGAAAAATAACAAAACTTCATCAGAGTTTATATTTAAGCATACTATAGCTCTAGTGCATTGTGTTGAAAATTAAACTAGGTACTCCTCTCTAGACGAGTAACGCGTACATTCTCCGAGTTCAGTTATATTTTAATTTTCCGGACTCCACGAATAGGTACACACATCAAAAAAAGTTTGCGATCAGTTTGAAAACTTAACATATTTTTAATATGTGGAAATATTATTAAGAAATATGTAATAAATAGTTTTTTTGTTAAAAGTACAACATTAAATAAATAATTAAAATTAAAAACAAATAATAGTATCACTAAAGAGGTTTTTGAAATATTTTTAGAAATTAAAAAATATTTCAAGTTTTAAAAGTGATCGCAAACTTTTTTTGATGTGTGTACGCTATCTAAATAGCACAATGAACTTTTGCCTCAAGCCATCGTTAAGGTATACAACATCATTCTTCGTCTTATTGCAAACTCTATTCGATTCCTGTTGGGCTTACGATAATTTGAATCTTCATTTCGAATTTTTTCATTCATTTTGTTGATTTTGTTTAGGATTTATTGTACTGCTGTACTTTAATCTGTCTTATAGTTTCATATACCATATCTTAAAGACGCTCTTTTTAGTTCTGAATTCTATTATCTTTGGTACTCGCCACTGAGCTGAAAATTTTCATAGTACTAAAATTATAATGAGATTCAAAGAAGAACTTCGTATTTTTGCTAATTAAAATCTCAAATAAAAGACGTTTTCAAACGCTATACTGCCTGCACAGATAATACAATACTATATTGACCTAGTCGAGCCATAAACCGTTATAAAAAAAATATTGGTCAAATTATATTTTGGTTCTTGGCCAGTTCTATTCTATTCTAAGAAATTAGTTAAAAAAAATTGCGGGCTTTTGAAGTTACAAGTACAGCTTTTACAAAGATTATTTTTATTTTAAGTATATTATGAAGAAAAAACGAAGAAAGAAATAGTGATGAAGAAAGTTAGAACTATATTCCTTATTTTAAAACTAATTACAAAAGACTTTAAAAATTCCAATAATTGAGAATTCAAAGTTTTTGTTCAAAGTGATAGAAGATAATGTGATTTAAGTGAAAGCGAAAACATAAATATTGACTCCCGCCGCTTATGACTGGTTAAAAACCCCAAATAAGTGAATTAAGTTATTTAAGAGAAATTGAAAATATAGTGTATTAAAACCACAATGGAAAATATTACTGAGGATCTCGATAATTAAAAGACATGGCTCAAAGAACTTGTATTCAAGCCAAAACTTTTAATAATAAAAAAGAAATGGGTTAAAATTTATTCAAAAAAGTTTCTTGTCGTGGATTGTTAATAAAATGTACATTTAATATTGGTTCTGTTTCATTATTTTATTTACTCGTAGAAAAAGTATTGTATGCAATCATTGCATATTTAGGTCTTAAAATCTCGTACCGGTACTCAACTTTAAGAACCCTCATTAAGCAACGATTCGATTGCATAAAATACTATTTAAGAATCTTCAGTGAATCGTCGAACTTTTTCTTTTTATGTACATTTATTTATTGTATTATAAATAAAATTAATTATTTTTTTGTGGACGTACTCCACTAATTTGTTATAATTATTAATATAAATATCGAACACAAAGAAAATTTATTTCGATTAGGTAGGACTCGAATTTGCGTCTGTATGCAAACTAGGGCTATAAAAAAACTAAGACCCACCACTTTACCAAGTTAGCTACAGACCTATCCAGCAGACCTCACAAATTTCTATGTTTGTTACAGATATTTTGTATAGGGTTTTATAACGGCGATAAACAGCGGAAAAAATTACTTCGTAATCGACGCCCTGCCTGTTTGTCAAAAAGTCATAGTATAACACCTAAAAGAAAAGGACGCTTAATTGCTTTAAGCCTTTCATGAAATTTTTTTTAAAATCTGTATTAATTGATTCAAAACTATGTTGTCGCATTCTAAACATAATATCATTGCGCATTATATAATTCACGTGCACTATACGAAGCTTCCGAGTATTAAAGAGGTTTTCAAGACCCCAGGCTACCCCTGCAATTAAGCGCAAGAAGGGTTGCACCGCTCTCCGAATTGCAAACACGTCCATTGTTTTAATCTACTCGGTGAATCCCGGATATAGCGGCAATAAGATTCTAACTCAAGTAGATCTTCTCTTGCTTGGAAATTTCATAGAGCTTACGTCGGAGGGAGAGATCAAGCAATATTGGGCAGTGTCCCTGCCGTAGAATTTGCTAAAGTATACTCGATTGAAATATTAATAAAGAGGTCAAAGCGTTGATGGCTACGAATTAATGAACAACTCTTGACTTGAATTAGAAAACTTGCGTTGTTTTGAAAACTCCTGAGGAATAAAACGAAAATAAAAATATAGATACTAGAATTAAAATACGACAAAAGGAATGCTCATACATAAATGTCTCGCATACGATCGCCACAGCGTTATTACATTACTTGCCCTTTCAATTTTTTAAACTTAATTCTTTTTAGTTTAAATAAATAATTACATTACCTCTGTCATTTTATGTCATGAATAAAATAAGTTTTTTCAGTGTCAAAGAGATTAAATATGATTAATAAAAATGTCTAACAGTTTTCAGTATAATACCTAATAACACGTCTTGCAAATGGCTCGGTTATTTTTTCTTCAAATATGAAATGTAATCCATACATGGTATGTAATCTAGCCCTTGCCCTAGTATTTAAGTTATTAGTTGATCTCTTTCTTATGTTACGATGCTTGAATAAATGAGTAACACTTAAGTAATTACACTATATAAGAATATCACAGCATTTTTAATAAGTTCATAATAATTTTGTCACCATGTTGTCCACTCGCCCGTCCGATTGTTTTAAACTAAATATTTTCTTTTGGAAAATTTTTGGGATTTGGCCTGGAAGAAAATATACCAAGTTTTATAAATATGTTTCTGCTACGTATTTGCTTATCACATGGATAATTTACAATTTTCTTCTTACGTTAAACCTTTTCTATAGTCCCAGGAAAATTGATTTGATTATTCGCGAAGCCACATTTTACTTTAACGAGGTGGCAATTACTGCACAAGTATTAATGATACTCAAAATGCGTGTTGAAATATTTGAGATATTTGAATATCTGGACTGCAACACTTTCGAGGGAAATGACGATATTTCCAAAAGCTATATCAAGAAAGCTATTGATCAATATAATTTTTGCCACAGACTCTATTTAATTTTTTGCCATTTTGCCTACGTTGCGCTAGCGGTGTTTCCTGTTATTCGGTATTGGATAACCAGTGGGCCATTAGAATTACCGATAAGCAAATACTATTTTTTGACTGATGAACATCGAGATAACTATTTTATATATTGGTATATTTATCAATCATTAGGAATATACGGGCATATGACGTACGATATAAACATAGACTCTTTTATCGTTGGATTGATGCTGATGGCAATCACTCAATTGAAAGTTATCAATTATCAATTGTCGAATATGAAATTAAACTCAATAGAAGCAACGGGGACAAAGGATGTCCAAGAAACAATTTTCATTTCGAAGCTTAAACAGAATTTACGACATTATGAGCTCGTTTTGAAGTAATTTTCCTAATATCATTTATTAAATATAAAATAATAGTTAAATCATAATGTTTAATGACTTACAGACAAATCTATTGAAAGTGTTCCTTGTTCTAGGTATTGTGCTCGGGTTACGGATGTCATAAGGGTGACAATGTTTGTGCAATTTAGTATGTCATCAGCTGTCATCTGCGCGGTGTTGTATGGCTTACTATTGGTAAAAAAATCTGTTAAGTTCCACTCGTTGGTAATATTTTCGATATCTTGTTTTGAGTATGATTAATGAATATTTGGTTACAGCCGTCGTCGATGGAAAATATTATATTTATGGTGGTTTACTTGGGAGCAATGACAACTGAAATTTTTGTACCTGGATGGCTTGGAACACAGCTTTCTTACGAAGTAAGTACTTATGTTTTCGGTGTATTTTGATTATATTAAGCTGCGTTATCTCACTGGCAGCTAACTGGGTACTTAAACTAGCTTGAGTACTTAAGGTTAAAGAGACAAATCCTAAAAATTAGGAATAACAGTCCAAGTACTATTTTCTGCAAGGGATGCTATTTCCTTCTCGATTGCACCAACCCGCTTGGAAGTGTCATGGTTATCAATTGCTTCTTCATGAGATTTAGATTCAAAATTCGCGGCAAAGTACACTATATGGTTATAAACAAATTCTTTGGTCTTTGTGAGGTACATGATAAATCCGATTTAGTCATTCTCTTTTTGGGTTGACTTATGTTATCATTTTTTGTACTTAATCCACTAAAAATTGTTACATTTGGACAAAGTTTTTTCTCAAATGCCTTAGATTTATAAGTGCGCAAAATCAATTTCATTCGAGCCAGTTTTGCGAGGTTAGTTTTTTTCGATACCCGGTTTTATTATCAATATTTATACATGTCTTAAACCGTAACAAACCGTAGCAAAACTATGTGACACCATATTGCCCTCCTTGTCATAACTAACGCATTTACATTTTGGTATCTTTCGTGATTTTTTTATAATATTAAGTGACGGGACGAACAAGTCGTGCGCCTGATGGTAAACTACACGCCTGTTCATAACAGTTGCAGTGCCACTCAGAGCTTAAATCGCACAGATCTGACGGGCACTGCCAATACGCCCGTCGTACGTACATAAGTTGACAAGTTCCATGTGCCTGTAATTTCACCAGCACCCTTATTCTTCAAAACCGGAACACAGTAATGCTGACATTATTGCTTGACGGCAGAAAGAAGTAAGGTGGCAGTACTTCCCTGGACGTACTATTAAATTCTCGTAAATAAAAAAATATATATATAAAATAAAATTAAAATATAAATTGTAAATTTAAAATCTCGTCATAATATTGATAATTAAAGTTATTTTTTCTTTGAAAAATGTCAATTACCTACGTAGATTTTGCTAACAATAAAAGTGAAAACAAATAAGATGTAAAAATACCGCTTATAGGGGGGCTGTAAATCTGGTTTCACTGATTCCAGATAAGTTAGTAAATCAATTTCGCTAAAAATGTCAATTACGTCAGTTATGGCATGGACCACTCAAGAGGACTGCTAATCTCCATACTAAAGATCGTAACTCTGAAAAAGGTCAAAATACCGTCTTAGACCTAGATGGTGTTGATCGATAGCCTAGAAGTAGTTTATATTATATAAATAGTCGTGGATATCCATTATTTTTTTCCTTGTTATTCAAATATCGTCGCCTTACTATTTCATACTCGTATCTTAAAGCACAAAGTTATTGAAATGCTAATCAGTACAGAGTACTAAAAAAAAACCGACCTCAAAAGTCATTCATCGTCTAATTTGCCACCTTAAGAGGTGGAATACTTTCTTCAAATTTAAATGTAACCATATCTGAAGTACTTTCTTTCCAACAAAAAAGAATCATCAAAATCGGTTCATAAATTTGCCGGAGTTATCGCGTAACATACATACAAAAAATATACAGTCGAATTGAGAACCTCCTCCTTTTTTTAAAGTCGGTTAAAAATGGATTGTACTTACAAATTTTGCAAGCTGCTTTCGCATCACATTTCCTTCATATTCACACACTGGCTTTTACCTATTCTTAAAGTAACGCATCCAAATTAACACCCTTGATAAAAAATTTAAAATAAATAGAAAGTTTTGCCATCTCCTGAATAATCACTCTTTATAAGATACGAGAAAGTAAGGCATCGATATTGATCATGAGCTAAAATTATTTTCTGAACTTTGACAAAAATGCGTGTCTATAAATGGCATTGTGTGTTGTAAATTAATTTATTAATTAACGCTGCCTAATAAGGGTAGATGGAGCTAATCCTAAACAAAATAAAAGAATCCGTAAAAAGCCGTACAATAAGCGCCATCTAGTATATTTGTTTGTTATAACTAGAACTCAGAGTAGTTTTATGATAAATTGCAGCTTGTCACTGTAAAACAAATTAGTTATAAAATAACTATTTGGTACTCGTCGCGACGTCTGGTGTGCCAATTGGTATTAAATACCCGACTACGCCGTCTTGTATTGCGATTTGCGTTGCAATTAGCTCTTGAGGTATTGGTCCATTGGTTATAGTAAGAAGGGCAGCACATTAATGATTAGCTCTGTTTCTCTGATCTACTAATTGTCTATAGCAAATGAAACTATTTTTCCGGATTTAAATCGCGTATATTTGTTACAAACCAACGTTTGAGGCCCTTTACAGGTCTCATGATCACGGTTGACTGCGATGGTACAGTCATCAACCAGTTATGTCTAATATTAACGCAAACCACCTATTTTTTCACTATAGTTACAAAAGTTATTAATTAAATACCTTATTTATAATTTTACAAAGAAACATTCCAATTTACGCTACATTGTTTTACAAATTATTTTATTTTAACAATATGAATTTTTATTATGTTAAATTTGTTATTAATTAATAATGGAAATTAGAATAAATTAAGACGTAGTAATTAGTACTGCAGCCATAAGTCTGTTTGGGATTTTTCTTCAGAGGAAATACTGGAGCCCAAACTGATGGTGAATCCGGAAAAATAGTTTCATTTCCTATGTGTAACAATCGTGAAAACCTAAGAACTCGATACTAATTGTCTCTTTCATTTTCAGAGCGGACTATTGGTGTCATCCGCTTACAATATTGATTGGTTACCTAGATCCCAGTCGTTTAAGAGGAGCTTAAAACTCTTTATAGTACGAGCTAACATTCCTATTAAACTTCATCTGTACATGTTTCATTTGAACTTGGAAAGTTTTCTTGCGGTGAGAATTTAACTATAATCTTGTGCATCTTTGTCGCTACGATTTTCCAGAAACAACGCTGTAGCGTTTAAAATATTATTATATTAAATTTTATTGAATTGATATTCAATTATTTTTTTGTGAAATTACTGCACTAGTTTGTTATAATTATAAAAATACAAAGATCAAATACTTAGAAAAAATTCCTTCGATCTGGCTAGATTCGAACCGACGTCTCTTGGCAAACCGTGCCAGACGCTATGCCAATTTAACCATGGAACGAACCTGTGGACCTCATACATTTTTCTATGCTTGTTGTCGTATCTTTGTATTTGGTTTTCAACGACTTTTTAGCCGTAGTCATCTATGAGAAATTTATGAAAGTATTTCGTCACACAGTTAGATACCTTTACAGCTAATCAGCCCTATTTTTATTGAATTGATATTCAATTATTTTTTATGATTATATTATTTTTGTTTTTTAATACGTGAGGCGCACTATAAGTTTCCGGAATGAAAACGAAAAAAATACTATAAACGCTCAGAAATGAATTCATTGTTTCTTAAAATATTCTCGGTTAGCGTTAATACACTTTTTCATATGAATAAACCAATTTTGAAAACATTTATAAAATAATAATAATAATAATTATTATTTATGCCACTTCTCCGTGACAATTTGTGAAACATATTTTTCATACTCTTCGACAGCCTCTTCAGGTGATGAAAATCGTTGACCGCGTAGGTAGTTCTTAATTTTTGGAAATAAATAAAAGTCACAAGGTGCCAGGTCGGGACAGTACGCGGGATGGCTCATAATGTTAACGTTGTTCACCTTCAAAAATTCATTTGTCTGGCTGGCCGTGTGAGAACTGGCATTATTTTGGTGCAAGATTATACGGCGTTTTCGGTTATTTTTACGGAGTTTGTCAATAACTTCCGGCAAATAAATGGTCGTGTACCAATCACTATTCACGGTACAGCGATTCTCCAAAGCAACAGTAGCCACGTGTCCAGTTTTATTTAAAAAAGAAGCAATCATCTGCACTTTGGTTGGTTTCGGCTCATCTCGAAAGACCCATACGCTCGATTGCTGCTTTGTTTTGGGATCGCAACTATAAATCCATGTTTCGTCACCTATTACTATGTCCCACACCAAATTAGATGCCCCTTAATTGAATCTGGTAAACATGACATTGCAGCAAATGACACGATCCGTTTTTTGAGCCTCAGTCAAATTGTGTGGGATCCACCGAGAGCACAGCTTTTTCACACCCAAATGTTTGTGTAGTATTAACTGTATTTGACTCATGTCTATGCCTAAAGATGTCTATGTCACATTTCTGCCTGTTTTGATCATACGGTGCACAGCATCGATGTTTTTGTTGTTCAAAGCAGTGAACGGGCGACCATCACGAAATTCGTCACTGAGATTCACACGACCGCGTTTGAATTCTGCAAACTAGCTATAAATAGTCGTCTTGCATGGTACTTCATCGCCAAAAGCAGTTTGAAGCCGAGAGAAGCTCCGCTGAGCTCTTGAATTACATTTAAAGTCGTAGAAAATCGTACTACGAAGATTTTCATGAGTTAAATCCATGGTGATGTGGACAACTGATTTTTAAAATGACGCCACAATGTAAAAACAAGTGACAGTCAGATGAAACAAACTGTATTCTACAGCCAAAGAGTTCCATTTTTAAATGTTGTAATTACTTGTTAAATATTGTTCATGTAAGTGGCCAGTTCCGGAAACTTATACTGCGCCCTATGTGTATTGTACCCTTGGTATAATAAAGCCACGTCAAAAGTGGTGGTAAGTGACACGTCTGTTGCAGTACCACTCAGTGCTTTAAATCACAAAGACCTGAGGATCGCTGCCACTGTCACCCTTATTCTTCATAACCGGAACGTAGTAATGCTCACATTACAGCTTGGTGGCAGAAATAGGTAAAGTGGCAGTACTTCACTGGACGAACTCTTTCATAAGGAGCTCTACTGCTACTAAGATGCTACTGCAAATATGTGACAGTGAAAATGATTAAATCAGCTATCCATCTGCTAATATCTGACCATAATTAAAAGAAAATAAATTAAAATTGTAAAAACCAAAGTTACAAGAGTCTTACACTTACTACACTATTTATATTAAACTATTTATAAGCACTTAATCTCTAATCCTCTTAGCGAACCTAAATAAAACACTGAACTGAAAGTACATAATGAAGTATCGCTGCTTTTGAAGCCATTGTGGTAATAATGATGTTGCATGCGGCAATTCTTGGAATTAAATTTAAATCATTAGCGGATTTCGCTCATACAAGTCATTAAACGTCTACGCGCCATTTGATCTGCTGCCGTCCACTAACTAAAACGGGGTTAAGTGACAAAATATTTTTTTGAGATATCATAAAAAACCATAACCCAGTTTTAGAATATTGAAATTGTTTAATGATATTTCACCTATGCATTGTTAGGATAAGTTCCGATAAATCGAACACGTTAACTAATTTTAACTGTTATGACCATTGACTTACAAATAAATGGACGACGGGTCTAATACAAAAACCACGAAAAAAATGTCCCAAGTCAACCTATTTAAACGTAGTGACATGTAAAGGAATATAAAAAGCTAAAACGTTGAATTTAAATTGTAATGTCATCGCAGTACTGTCTAATTTTGCTTGCTTCGCTGTCAGTCGAACAAACGAAGACTAAAGCGTGAATGACGCCCTGTATACGATTTTAACGCCCTATAAGTTCGGACACTTTTTAGCGCGGACCCGAGGTCCATATAATTGTAAGTCACTGGTTATGACAGAGAATTTTATGCTCCATTTTTTGCTATTTAAAACGATTATTTGACCATCTGTCACTTAGCCGCGTTTTTGGTTAGTGGACGTCAGTCTGGCTAGATATACGACTAAAATCCTGATTGTCAATTAGGCATTGACTAAATAAATGACAGCGTTAAAGGCAAAACTCTAGATTGCCAGTTAAAAAGCTAATTAAGCAATTTCGATGAGAGATGGACATCGTATTTTGTTTAAGCGATTTATTTATAGTTTCAGGTGAAGATAATTTTGTCTTATTTACTTTCTTTTGTTGAATATCATGACGGGTCGAGGGGTTTGTCTTTATATTTTTTCGATCTTTGTATTAATATAATAATTTTGTCTTTTCATTTTACTTTACAGATCATGAAAACTGCGTATTCCTGTTTCTCACTTCTTAGAAATGTACAAAGTCGATAAATGTAGCCTGACAGCTTGACTCAGTAGGTCGCCTTAAGGACATATAAGTACTTAAGTTATTAGAGTAAAAGTAATTTAATAAATGGTAAGCACTTATGTAGTCGGTAGGTGTTACATATTTCTTTACTTCGCCACGTTGTCAGCTAGTACAAAATAACACTTAAATATGTATTAATATAGGGTGCCTTCAAATTAGACGCTTATAAAAGCCCTGCTGCAGTGGTGCCACTGTGGCGCAGCAGCCGAGCCACTAATAATTTTCATACAATATTTTGCAGCGCCGTTGCAGCGCCACAATCGTGACGCGCGCGCCATTATTACAGTCACAATTAGTGAACTAAAAATTACTGAAGTGCTACAGACGCGCGGTTGCTGCGTCACACAAGCGATTGCAGCGCTTCTTCAAGCGTTTAATTTGAAGAGTCGATACTACCTCAGCTCGAATTCAAATTTTCCCCGTACCAATACGGTTCATTAACGGCAGATATACTGGCTTTATTTCAGAATTTATTTCTTTACAAACGAAATTAATGCCATTTGAAAAATGTATATCGTATAATATACGTGTTCTATTTAGTTCAGTTGATGTAAAAAGAAATCTTTGGTATATGTAAAGCACCTATTGATTACAGCGGTTTTCTTGTAAAATTTCGTGGTAAGTTTGTGTTTTTTTTCTATTGTGAAATTTTTTAGGTATCGTTTACGTAATACGTTTTCACACCGTATAGTAATCAGTGTGTATCCTCTGCTTTACTATATATTTTTCCAAGTTATTGATTCAACACTTTCACTTTTATGCGGAATCAACTAAAGCCATTTGAGGTTGTATAGACTCTTAATATCGAAAGTTACATCATTATCATTGTCTCTGTAAACAGTTTTATTTAAATTGTTTCCAGAGCTTTAAGATCAAAATTCAATTAAAATGATGTCAAATAAATTTGTAGCTCGACGTCGAGTACGTATTTCAGACAATGTACGTACATACAACATACGTACGGGGTAGTTGAAAACATAATCGCTGCTTTACAACTATAGTAGTGGTCTATTATGGATTGGTATCCATGGTTTTTTTTTGTTACGATACCAAATGATGGGATGAGCAAGTCGTGTGCTTGGTGGTAATTGACACGCCGATCCATAACCGTTACAATACCACTCAGAGCTTTAAATAGCAAAGATCTGAGGGGCACTGCCAATGAGCCCGTCACCCTGAGACGGTTAACATTTCGGACGCAAGATGAGGACGTACCTGGTAGGTCCAAACTGGGATATGAACTTTTCTAGATTGGTTCTGGCTTGGGTGTTCTGGGTAAAGCCCTGGAGAGAATTTCGTCGCTCCGTGGTACTCATAGTATAGGTAAATGGTTCACATATTATTCTTAACATAAAATGAATTAATGATATACCTTACAAGTATTAAAATCATAAAAATGTACCATAAATATTACAACATATTATTTTTGTAAATTGACTATGACTTTTAAAATGGTGGTAAGCAAATCACGTCAAATAAAGTTGTAACAGATAATTTGAAATAAGTGTGTATTTTCTTTATAAAGTACCAATTTCCGATATGATGGACGACTACGGAATTTTATTATAATCAACTACACATACAAACTTAACATTTAACATTTGCAAAGAAAAATAGAATTGTGTAAGTCTATTGGAATTTAAACCACGCATCCATGGATTACGTAAGCTACAAATAATATTGCTACAATTAGTCATTAGGCTGCTCTAACTAAATTTTATTGTACCGCTATAAAGCATCACGTTGCTTTGTGACACTACACTATTTATATTCATGAATGTTAAATATTTAATGTTCGTCATGAAACGTTATCCTAATGCTGCATGTATATGTGGCGGCTGTCATACTCGTATATGTCATATACTATTTTCGGAACCGTCACGAATTGAGTTTGCGGCCGGATACAACAGTTTGGTTCTGGAATAGGATCACATCACTTCGTTAGACTGTGCCTGATTGGAAGCAGGATCCAGATAGGAAACTGACCACTGGTTCCACGATTTCCCTTCCTTTATATACCATACCCTCGGTGTTTCAGTTTCAGACACCCGCGAGCTAATGATGTAAACGTGCTAAGGCCACGACGGTGCTCGAGCTCATAGCGATTTTATGGCAAACGCTTTGGCGGTATAACCCATATTTAACGGAGTAGGAGTAATGGTAATTCTGTGAGATGACACACCGATACACCTAAATTGCATTTTTCACATTATTGCTTTTAATTTGAGTGCTAGGGCTATGCTGTACTGAAAACTCATTAGTGAAAATTTCCATTTAAATATTTGATGCACATTATAATTGAATGATGAAAAAATATGTATACGCAATTACCTGTTGTAAGTATGTGTATCGGGGTTCCTTTATTAATTTAAAATGAACTACATTATCGTCATGATGTCCGCACGTTTATCAATTTATGTCTCAAGGTGACAAGCGCAATGGCAGTATCCCTTACATCTCTGCGATTTAAAGTTCTAAGTGACACTGCAATTGCTATGGGCAGGCGTATCGCTTACCACCAGACGCTTGACTTGTTTATCCCGCAACTTGGTTATATGCGTTATTAGTCGTTTATAGTTATAAATTTAAAAAATGTCTGTACTATTCAAATGTTTGGCAATAGTGGAAAATAAGCAGTGTTCTAAAATTGTTTTAGGGTTATTTGATATCCAGTTGATCGTCAAAAGTGCCGATGAGCAAATAATATCTCCTGAAAAATAAATCTCCAAACGCCTACTTCTTCGTAGACTAGTCTATCAATAAATCAACTGAATGTACGAGCATATTATGATGTGTAACATAAACATCGGCTCTTTCATTGCCGCCGGAATGATAATGATAGCAATCACTCAGGTCTGCTGAATGTTATCATTTCGATATCCCATAGAACAAAGGGTGTAAGTAATATTTTTTTAAACCGACTTCAAAAAAAGGAGGAGGTTCTCAATTCGTATTTTTTTTGTATGTATGTTACGCGATAACTCCGCCGTTTGTGAACCAATTTTGATGATTCTTTTTTTTGTTGGAAAGAAGGTACCTCAGATGTGGTCCCATTTAAATTTCAAGAAAATATTCCACCTCTAAGGGTGGCAAACTAGGGGATGAATGACTTTTGAGGTCGATTTTTTTAACCGGAGGTTAGGTTATCGCATCTGTAATGAGGTCCCATTATCTGCAAAATGACAACTTTTTAGCAGAGGTTTAAGATTCTACGAACGAAATACTTGTCAAAATATTTGAACGAAAATATTTGTCGATAACATTTTTATGCTTAAATAGAACGAGTTATAAAATTTCACTATATGTTTCATGTAGTTCGTATTATTTTTGTGATATTCGTGTGATAAATTCATGTATACGAATGACCCAATTATATATGGATTTATTATACCACGGGTAAAATTTGTGATTGGTGAATTTTTCATGTTTTTTTGATTTGTCTACTCAAAAATGTCTAATAGCCACAAAAATACTCTTTTGCATAAACATATAATTATATTTTCCACTCGTTTTGGCTACTTTATATTTTTATCATCTGTAGAATTAGGAATAAAATTAAATCGAAACCATTAATAGACACATATTTGAAAGCCCGTATTTCAATCCATGCTTGACGTAATCTCAGCTATCACGACTTGACGCAAGCTGCCCTTCCTATTAGACACGGCGATTTATGTATCAGGAGCCAAGCTGTTCTGGTTTTTCCGTCTTTCATCTGTGGTAGGGTTGACCTCGTAGACTTCTAATTCCTTGTGTTTAGAGTGTTTACCAATTTAAATATTGGTTTAAGACGTACGGTGGAAGACGGAAGACTTTCACCAACAAACCACAAAATGTGACTGGATGAGGCCAGAAACGTCTGCAACTTCACCTGACCCCAATCAATATCCACTACAGACTCCAAGATACTAAAGAGCTCGGCCGAAATAGGGTGCAAAAACAATTGAACCTCATTTTTCAATGTAGCCCATCGATAATGCCCGATCGAAAGTGGCATTCAGGTGCAAACCGGTCACTATTTACATACTTTCTTTTGCATTTCTGTTGCATCGTTTTCGACTTCAATAAACGAAATATTATTCCCTCCTATTGGCGAAGTTTATAAGCCTAAAAGTCTGAAATAAATGAGTCTGATAGATTATATCTATCTCTTAAAAGTTTCATAAATAAAAGTCTTTTATCCTGACGCTACCCATGACGCGTTTTGCTATATGGGTCGATAAAGCAAACACCACTGCTAAATACACGTTACTCACGTACACGGAGAAAAACTCGCGTAAAGGGAAAAATGCCCTAAAGCTAGTTATAGCACGAAAATTGCAATTTAGTGTGGCAAGCGATTTCTCTCTTTAAATTGAAGGCAATTTTGTACCTTATGTTGAGAAATTCACCAACAATTACTGGCAATTTAGCGCACACGATCTCACGTAGATGGCGCCACCTGCGGAATGGTCTCATTAGGAGCGAACTTCAAATCGTCGTCAATTAAAATCACTAATGTCGTTATATCGAACCGAGGCACGTGGCTTGATAATTGCTCGAATAGTGTAATCGCTGCTTCTCGTATGAAGTATATGGAATGTTTAAGTAGTACAGGTTAATTATTAAATGTTTTAGTGTAAGTAAATACATAAAGTAGAATGTCTTAAATAGTTTTATTGAAAATACTTCATTACAATGTAAATGTACCTACTTTTTATAACAATTAGCCAAAATATTTTTTTTTCAAAGCTACGATAAGCTTTCTTATAAATACAGATTTTATGTGAATGTGATGGGACGAACAAGTCGTTTGACTGGTGGTAAACGACATGCCTGCCCATAACAATTACAATACCACTCCGTGCTTTAAATTACAAAGATCTAAATGGCACAGCTACTGCACGCGTCACCTTGAGACATAAATTGACAAGTCTCATGTGCCTGCAGGTAAGTCCACCAGCACCCTTACCATTCAAAACCG